TCTATGGACATCTGCATTTCTTTTGTAATAAGTACTTTTATCTAGCCAGTAATGCAGAAAAGGTTTCTCAAGACTATAAAACCACTGGGATGTATTCATATGAATCTAGATGTCATAGAAAAACATCACTGTGTGCATTCTTCTAGTTTCAAAGAAATACTAAGTATTATGGGATAAAGTCCCTGGGAGCTTTGAACTCCCACACCAATTATACCCTTAAGTGTTGGGCATACAACTTCTGGTCAGAAATGCCAGTCCTAAGCCTCCAACAGACATGAGCAGTCCAAGGCATGATGCTGACGCACCATGGCTAATTGAGATTTGGAACAGGAAGGGATATTGGGAAAACAGAAGCACAGCTTGAACAAATCATACTTTCCTCCAAACAGACAGGAGCCCAGGTCTCCAGGGCTGACTGTTTCTATCATCTTCTGGGAGGACAGAAGATGACAGAAAACTTGAAGTACTGATGATTAGATGACAATTAGGTGATGATTAGAAAACCTAAAGTACTAACTACTTCTGCAGCCTAACATAAAGTTTTTCGTAAACAACAAATTCTCTGCTGACAATTTCTTGGAACCTCAGGGATGAGTCCTTTGGGTTCAAATGGATGACACCAGAAGGCTGAACGACAACTACTTACAAGGCCAGTATTGTTTGCAGCGATGGGAGTGATGGAGAATTGGAGTGACCTTCTTGTTTACATGTGGTCTGATGAGAAGAGGTCGCTGCACTGTGTCAAACAAAACATCTCTGTGCTGCTGTGATGTCCCAGGCACAGGGATGTGCTGCACTTATCAACCCCCACCACTAAAGAAGTGAAGAGTCTTTGGAGTCAACTCAGGCATTCGGGTTCAGGGCAGAAGTTGAAGGAAAGCCTGTTATGTCCTTGGCACAGTCCCATCTCAGCATCTTACAGTTTGGTACTATCTTTTCTGCAAGAGAGATACCATCCAATAGGTCCCAAAGAAGGTCTACAATTTTGTCATTTGATGGCCATCTTGACAGCAAAACAGACTCCTTCAAGAAACCCAGGCAATAAGCCACAACACTAAAAGACTCCATTATCCCATCTGGATGCCTGTGTCAAGCAGTATTTCCTCACTGCAGTACATTACATTAATAAATCAACACTAATTTACCATTAATGAATTAACTTGGGAATAAAAAATAATCTGCAGTTTCCATTCAGAAAGGCTCCCATCTGCCAAGCAGTGAGGACGCTCTCCCCTCAAGCCTCCCTTCAGCCCACCCCAGAGCAACTAATAGGACCATCCATGCTAGCATGACCCACCTCCCCTTCCCCACCGGGCAACACGCTGTGCTGTCCGGTGTTTTGGCAAACCCACCTTCTTGTCTGAAGAGAAGAAGTGCTGTCTGGGCTGCCTCACAGATGCCCCAGTGCCAGCTCTGGTGTCTCAGGCAAGGCTCTTTTCCTGCCCCACACCAGCCCCAGCTCAACAGCCTACACCACCCAGGGGTGCCTCCATGCATCACCAGGAAAACCATAGGGAACCAGGAAAACCGAACATCCTTCTCAGATTATTTCCTCCCCCTTAAAAAACATTCCTAAGCATGGGGAGATGGGAAAGAGATCTCCCACTTTGCCCAACTAAGACATTTGCTGTTCTCTTCTTCCACTTCCCCACAGGAACAATGGGTTTTTTTTAACCTCAGTTTGAATGCTTGAATATATTTTATCCAAAAAATGCTCCAAACAGTTGCAAAATAGAAATGAAAGTGAAGCCAGACCCATCCAATCTTTTCTTCTTCTCTCCAGAAGTCAGAGTGATGAGATACCTCTTAAGCAGAGCCTTTGCCTGTCTGTGGCTGGGCGTTGCCTGGGGATCCTGTGGTCAGTCTTCTGGTTTTCAGGCCACATCTGCTCTGGGGCAGCTGGGAGGATTAAGCAACACTACATAAAGTCATCTTTCTCTGGAATGGGAGCCGTCAGGGGTTAAACATGATTTATGTGCATTGGCATCATATCTGGAATAGATTTTTGTTAGTTTTCCCAAGCGTCGGGAACCGAGCTAGTAGCTGGAGTCAACCATTCCTATGTCCACCTGGGTGTGAGTTGAGCGGAGAGCCAAAGTACCTACACCCCACCACGCTGCCCATTGGCACAGCTTCCGGCACGCGGGCGCTGTGTCTGAGGACACAGAGCAGCCACCCAGGGAGGGACAGCAAGGTGTCATCAGCGCAGTCCCTGGTGACTCCCCGCGGCACAGGAGGTGGAAAAAGGCTGGCACGCAGGCAGCAGGTGGCCTGCACCAGTCCTGGGCATTTTTTACATTGCCCCTGTTACCTTTTCCTTGCTGAGCGTTTATCTTGATTTTTGTGCAATAAAATCATGTTAATTAAACTGTGAATGAATAGAAAGGCCCTAAGTCAATATTTGCATTTGGAAAAGACTGGTTAGAACAAGCTTAGGAATTGATTCCGCTTTATTAAAGCACCTGTTCACCCAGGGAACATTTTAGCAGCAATCAATATGTAATTAAATCTTTATCGATGTTTTACAATTGTTTTGTTTCCCAGCAATTACAGTGATAGAATCAGCTTCCCTCAGTTGTTCCTGCTTCCCAGCTTTACTACTGATTTCTTGTGAGCCTATGGACAACTCACCTTACATCTCCCAAGCGGTTATTAATAAACTGGGAGCACAATCACACTGAAACAGCTCTAATCCTAACCCACTGTGCTAAGCACAGGCCAGGGAGAAAGGCCACCTCTGACCTGAATAACCTGATAACAACAACAACAGGAGCTCCAACACGGTATAAGCACAAAAGTTTCAGTGAAATCAGCAGACAGACAACTCTGAATTAAAATACCTTTGAAGAGGTATCTCATTAGGCTTTTCTAGGGAGATTTTAAGTCCCTCCAAGCTGGGATTACTTCTCCCTCGCTGCCTCAGGAAGCGCAAACATCGTGTGTACAACTGTATAAATCATGCACGCTCCCTGCGTAGGCGGGTACAAATTCGCATTGGGCCTTTCCGAAATAATACCCCAGACACTGGGGAAAAGCTCATGTTTTCACTAAAGCCTCATCAGACAGATCTGGTCAGACGAGAGCATTTCTGTAGAGCCTCATAGCTGCACCAGAGCCAAGTGGCTGCAGGGGGAGAGTCCCTAAACTGGAGTCACAAAGGGGGACACCCGCCACCAAACGCACCCCTTCCTTACAGATTTTAAATCAGAGGGAAGGCGTGCGTTGTTTAAAGGGGGGTGAACCTCACCACCCTGTGCCTGTTCTGCACCTCTCCCCCTGGAGCCCTGGCCTGGGCGCTCGGTGGGGAGGTGAGGGGCACAGGGGGGCCAGGATGCTCCCTCGCCCTCCCTCTTTGGCCCCACAGGTGTCGGGGTCCTGCGTGGGTCTGTGAGCAGCCCGCCGCGGTCCCGTTGGCCGCGCTGCACGAAGGCTGTCACCCACAAGATGGTGGTGTAAGCACGGTTTTCTCCACAGCCGCATCCCATCCCCAGTTCTGGGAAGCTTCTCGCTCAAAATCAGCGCCTGAACCAGCTCTTAAGCAAAACCAGGGGAAGGCTGATCATTGTTGTCCGCGAGAACAGGCGGCTTTCCGAAAAAATCAAGTGGGTCCTCTGGCCAGCAGAAGGCATATGCGGTATCTGATCCTTTGATGCCTGGAGCTGGCCCACATCCCCCAAAATCGGCGTAAGGAACTTCCCCTTGATGCTCAGTCTCGAGATGTGTCTCCAACTCATTTTAGTCCAGGTGAGAAATTGGGATATCACTGAAAACACAAGCGCTTAAAGGATCAGAGACTGAAACCTCCTTCTCTTCATGTTTACCTGGAGATACCTGCAGATTCCCTGACCCTAGCTCTGGGTCCTGGCCTCCCTAAGACTTTTTGAATTCACCACTCTCACTGCACCAGTTCCTGCTCATTTCAGCAGTGCAAGGGAAGAACCACCCCTCTCCCAGAAAATTCACACACTCAATCAGAAAAGCTACTTCTCTGAAACCAATGGCTTCTGGTAATTACCCATTTAAATGAGTTGCTTTAAGTGCAGAGAATCATTCATCAAGGCAGACTGAGCTTCTCAAAGCATTTCATCCTTTTCTGTCTGTATCACTGTCCAAATCTGGGGCCTCACTCAGCAAGTGGTAGGTGCAGTCATGGAGGTTGGGAGGAATTTCCAAGGGAGTCCACCGACCTCTGTGAAGTTATTGTGAAACTGCAAGCAGAAACAGGTCTGCTCCCAAAAGCAGGATATCCTATATTCACCAAAACCAAATCATCTGCCCTAGTTTTTATTTCCCCACACTTTGACATTGATGTCACTCCCTGAACTTGCTGGTCTGCCCCTGCAGATACTCACACAAGCTCGAGGGAAATCAAGCACACAGCTTTCAACTTTCACATGCTTACAGCCAGTTTGGCTCTGCCATTCCCTGCTCCTTGGGGACCCCCCACTGAAGTTATGCAGATAAGGCTGCTAAACCAGCCCCGCTAGGACTGAATTCTCCATCCTGACCCATGTCCTAAAGCCTCATTAATATCTGGCACTCCTTTCAGACCCACCCTGCTAGCAGCAAATGGTCGGTACTGTACCAGCTTGTCCTAGTGAAGTTAGCAAGGCTTCAGGACGGCCCAAGCTTTGTAGGGTTGTTCAGACTTGTGAAACACCTACAGAGGGCTCAATAGCTCAAAAAGCCTTTAATTTCATGTCTAAGCGCCACCCTTCACAGTGCGTTAAAAGAGAACGGAAATTGCACAGAATGAAATGGAAACAAAAAAGAAACATTCCCACTTGTGTTTGAAAAACTGTTAGGAAAGTCAATAGCTTTTAATGTGTAATGAGCACCCATGTCCTTCAGAGAGCTTTGGAAACCTTGACCATTAATTTAATCTTCTTTTTCTCCCCACTTGGATCAACAGAAAGATTTTCTACATGTACATTTTCAGATTCTTGTTCACTGTTAATTCTCCTTCTGTATCCATGTCAGCATCTTCCTCGTAGATTTTGTCAGTCACTGCCACAGAGATTCAGTAAGGCTGTCTTGTAATCGCCACTGGTGTCATCCTGACAGGAGGGAAAAAAAAAAGAAGGTGAGTGTGGAAGTTCCTCTGCACACTCTGAATGCTGACTTTGTCCGTCTGCAGAATATGCCCACATGGGAAAAGGAGTCTGGAAAGAGCAAGCCAGACTTCAGCAGAGTTACTGCCAGCTGACACAACATCAAAAGTGAACGGAGAAATGAGGCTTGTAGCTGCCACCTGAAATAACATGCATCAAGTTCAATTCTTTTCTTTGGAATGCAGGTGAGCAGTTGATCATGGCTCCATCCCACAGAGCAGCGTGGACAAAGTCAGCACGAACGAGAGCAACCAAGCCTGTTGGGTTTAGATTTTATGTCCCTGGGTATTTGTGTAGCATCCTCTCCCCTACAGGAAGGGCAAGGGCAGGATAGTTACCCCTGACACGTGACATCTTTTAAAATTTACCATATCTGTGGCTTTTATCTAAAGAAGCACTACAGAGAATATCACTAGATAAAAAAAAAATGCTCCCTTTGAATGTTTTGTGACGACAGGTGTAAAGCCAGTTCCACTTCTCAGAAGGGATGAATATTCCATACAGACCCTTGAAGACTGATCATTAATCAACATGACAGATGCTGACAGTGTAAATTAGAAGAAGGGGCCTTCATTACAGAACCAGACTTCCCATGGGGACTGCTAAGGATAGGGCTTCTGTGCCATTTGCACCGGGGGAGAGAAATGTCCCAGAGTCCTTAGGACAAATGGTAAAACCCAGGGTTTCAGCCCTAATAGGGGAGGGTCATTCACTCAGAGCTGAGACTCAAACCTCAAAAAGCTACAATACGCTTTGACAAGGTTCAGTTTCTAAACCTGTCTTACCGCAGCATAGACCAGACCTTCATTCAGGAGAAGTCAGTTTAAAAAAAAAAAAAAAAACACAACAAAACACCGCCCCCTCACCCTCCCCCCCAACCCAACCAAACAAAAAAGCCCAAACCAAAATCAATCAACCAACAAAAAGCACTGTTTTGACATAGATGGCACTGACTTGACATAGGTAAGGACCGCAGAAAGAGAAAGGAGAAAATAGCAAATAGCATGGGAAAGATGTAACAGGGAGGGTTAAATGAATGTAGATTCATGTAGGAGATCATGAAGTACATGGATACAGAGTCTGGTCCATGAAAAACCTGGAGCAGTCCCTCCTCGGGTTTGGTTTTGCCCCAGTGACTTACTGAGCATACAATCTGACTCACCTTTCAGGCATACCTGTCTCTCAAGGAGCTGATTGTTAATAGGCCTAATGAAGGAGAGCTATGATCTTAGCAGAAAAGCCATTTTTACTGAAAACAACCATGAAAGCACCCCACAGCACTGGACAGGTTAGGAATGTATGTGATGGCTAAGAACCATCATATGAAAAAGTTGCTTACCAGAATCATACTGGAGAGAGACTTTCCTGCAATATGCTTGAATTCAACTTTTATAAGATTTAAGTCAACTTCACTTCGAGAAACGATCACCCTTATAAGAGTCCCATCACGGGTGCCAGCCCCCTGAAATAACAGATATATCAGTTTGTGATGTTAGTGGGTGTTCAAGGGATAAGCTGTCACAAACTAGTCCAGGACAGGAAGAGTCAGCTTTCAAACATTGCTTGGCACATGTTCTGCAGCACATCTGCTTCTTTTTCTGGATGGCCAACCCCCACCCCCCTGCCAGGGGCCTCTGGCAATACCACAAGTCCACCATGGAAGTGTGCTGTAAGTCTTTGCGCATGTCAAATGTAAAAGCAAACATGCTACAGAGTTGGAAGTGGGCACTGAATACATATTGTCCTTCTGCAGCACCACCCATACAACACTTGGCTTCAACCAATATAGTTTAATCCCTCACAGGAAAATTAAGATCACATCAATAACAAAAACAATCACCCATCTCAGCTTTCCACAAAGTTGGGAGAGCTGACATCTTCTTCATATCAGTTAAGTTACAGGGGCACAATCTACAAATGCCTTATGTGTCCCCATTTGGAACTCTTTCATTTACACAGCCATTGGGAGAATTGCTTCCTAAAAAGAAAATATTGTGGTTCAGTCCATTAAGTCAACATTATGGGCAAAACTCCACCATGATCAGCCCCCTAGAAAAGCGTCTTGCAGAATTTTTGTCCGTGTTCCAGAAGATGGGACTGAGCTCCTTGCAGACTCCTAAGTCAGAAAAGCCGGACTCCCTTGGTATCTCAAGCTTAAAGGGTACTTCTCTACCCACTGTGTTTGAAGGAATTCTGCTGTTACTTGCAGCAATAGCACTGAACTTGATGGCTTTCACCAAAACCTTGGCTCTTCTAATTGGAATTGGTGAAAGCCAGGTTACAAGTTAAGTCCAGTATGAAAACAAGTATGTTACAATGAAGAGTCTTACCTTTAAAGCATGGTACAGCCTCTCTGCAAAGTAGCAATGGACGTTCCTGGTGCATTTCACTAGGCATACAAAAAGGCTCAGTAAGAATCAATGGTAATTCCAGTCCAGGCCAGCAGGTAACAGAGATTCAACATACTTTCCATTAATTCAGCGTGCCCCTGGGATCCGAGTTTATCTCACCTAAGAAGTACGCTTCACTTCCTACCCAATACCTTTATAAAGTAGATCCATCCCATAACAGTCAACTGAGGCAGGAGAAAAGGCAGCACACTCAGACAAAAGAAAGGGAAACATAGCCACTCTTACCAATAGCCAGCATGGCATCCTCAAGTGAACCATGGGTTTCACTCTTGATGGAGTCTTCTATGCTCTTACCGGCCAGTTTCTGGTATTCTTCAAACACTGTTTGAAACACAAAGAACTTCAATTTTTTGCCAAGCAACTGCTCAGACATTTTGTGCCCAATATTTACAGGTATTGCTTGTATGAAAACACAGATCCTGCTAAAGCAATGGCCATATTTGCACCAACTTCAGGAGGCTTTAGTCAAGCCCAGAAATCAGCAACAAAAATAGGTGGGAACGTTCACAAAAACCCAAGTCATCCACAGGTCTTAACTCCCTGCAAGTTCAGTCAACTCATATTCATTTGGAAATCTGACGTTCATTGCTGTCTTTCACCGCAGAAATGAAGTGGACAACAGACAATTAGGCACAAGTTTATCACTTGGTCTTGTGTGTGTTGATGTCACTGGTTTCAGTAGCCAAAATAAAATAAAATTAAATCTAGGACTGTGCTCCACATGGCCCTTGGACTTTTAATCAATGACAACAGTTTGGGAAAACTTATTATTTCAACGACAATTTTTAAAAAGCAACTCAGAAAAGATGAGTAAGACAGGTGCAGATTCCAAGATATTTGAACTCCCACATTAACAGAAGCTCAGCAACAGAGGAGTTGTTCATCTTATATGCTCTGGATACTCCGGGGTTCAGAATTACAGATCTCAGTTTTGATTCCTAGCTTTCAGACTAACAAAGAAGGAAACCTGCTATGTAATGCAATGGACGTCTTAATGAAGTTTGCTCAGCATTCCAAATCAGATACCTAAGCCTTAACACTCAGGTACTTTGGGGAAGGGCAATACCACAGAATAGACAGGCGCATACAACCTTCTCAACTCAGGCCTATTCTCCATATTAAAAAAAATAAATAGCTGCAACAATTACACTCAAATTTTAAAGATAAGCAGCTACAGGCTGCTGTAGCACAGAGGAAATTCCTTGCTTGGTGATACAGTTGGTGCCAAAGATTTGTTGCACCCTGACAAGAACTAGTTGAAATTCAGTTCTTAAAGGCAGACACAGCCAAAGACGAGACCACTTTTTTTTGTGTTTTGCTTTCTCAGTGATCCCGGGAGATCAAATTTGAAACACAAGGGGGAGCTGGCCTCCAGGGCCTAGAAAACAGCCTCAGAAGACATCAGCTTGAAAAAGCTCAGACATACCTAATTTATCACCAGCTAAATTTATCAGTTTAGGTCCAGCTGATTTACACAGTACTTGATATGCTTCGATTCAGCTGACATAACAAAATCTGTTAGTCAGAGCGTTGGACTCCCTCAAAAGCCAAGCCCAGGTCTCTGCTACACAGGGTGGTGAGGAGCTGAAGGCTCCCTTAGCTGGAGCTGGGTTGGTGTCTTCCCTCCCAGCAGCCTCTGATGCCCTCAGAAGAACCTGGGGCAGAAATGCAGGGTGCACCCCATGATTCTCCAGCAGCAAATAACCAGCTATTTTTTCAGTGATTTTTCCCAGAGGAGCCCACATCCAAGGAGTCATAGGTCTGTCCACTGCATGCTCCTACCTGGTTAGGAAGGGACTCTCTCTCTCCCTCTCCTTGAATTTGTGAAAACAGCTACACCATCCAGCCATCACCACTGTCCAAGCACTCCTAGATAAGCCACTTGATTTTCAGCAGCACTAAGTCTTCATAGGTTTTCACAAAAGCTGCTGGCAGCTTTTGATCAAGGATTGTGACCAAGGATTAGGAGACAGGCTCAGGTACTTATTTGTGACCACCCATCTCTCCCATCTATAGCCCTGCCTCTTCTTTTTGGTGAGCGTGATTTCTCATTTCAGAGGCTTGGGAATACGGGCTCTGCTCCGTACCTTTCAGCAAGTGCGTGGCACTCCTTGTGCACAAGATGGTGATGAACTGTATCTCATCGGTGCCCCGTATCTTCTCCCCAGCAGCATAAAGAGTCTATAATTTAACACACAATAATTAGAGAGATGTTCTGCGTGTGCAGCAGAGGCACTGGCTTAAGGCACTGCTAGGGTAAAGGGGTTGGAAGTAACCTAAACCAGTGTGAACTAGACTCTCCCAGAATGGTTGATTATGAAAACCCTTGACTATGTCTTCTAGTCAAATTGAAGCAGCCACTATCTCCACACTTTCCAGTCATCCTGCAGCAGCTGGAGCAGCCAACAATACTCTTGAGGTTTCTTCCCTATTCTTGGTTGTCCCACTCCACCATACTTGTATACTTTCATAGATCAAAAGCTGCTGAGGCCAAGCCCAGCTCTCACCACTCCTCTTTGGAACAGCGAGGCACAGCAGTGCAGGCAAAATCGAAGAACTTCAAGTAACTTCCACTTGAAGACCACCCTTCCCCAAACTATTGTGGCTCCAGCTCTCTGCTGCCCACTGAAGCAAAGTTGAAGACAGGCGGGATGCAGGCATGTCACTGATCACAGGCATGTCACTGATCACAGGCATTTGAAAGTACCTCTGCGTCCTGGAGAGCCAGTGCTGTGTCCACGTAGAGAGTGGCATTGTCCCTCTCACCCTATGAGAAGAAAAAGAAAGGTAACCATTTTGTCTCATGAAGATTTTTCCATGTATAAGGATCACAGCATACATTCTGCACAAAGATCGATTATCCTCAGCTATCTATTTCTGCAGAGTACTCGAGTGGTAACATTTCAGACAGCACAAGGGCTAACTCCTTCACTGAAAGGCACCAGAATCAGTCATATGAAGCAGAGCCAAAAAAAATTGCTGAGTTATTCTGCTGCTGGGCAGGAAAATTTGGAAAACACAATAGGATAAATGCCTGCGAATGCACTCAACATTGAGGGTGCAGACCCTGGAAGAGTGGTGAAACATAGCTGAGGGGCATTTTTTCTAAGACCCTTGTAGAGTGCAATGGCTTTATGCGTATGTAAGAGCGAGGTGTCTCCCTGCAGCAGAGCTGATGGTAAGTTCCCAGCTCTCTTACTGCTGCTAAGGGAGGGGGTTGCCCTGCTTTGGTCACATTGAAGCTGAAACACAGACCCGGTCCAAGTGACATGTTTGTCTCTGCAGTTTATCTGGCGATGATGACTGTATTGCCTCTTCCATTGCATGTCTTCTCCAGAAAGGAAGAGGAAAAACATGAAGATCTTTATTCCCTCATTTATCTTCTCTAGGATTACCTGAAGAAGGCAAACCAGAATCTGTTCAAAGTAGCCACTTGTTTCT